ATAGATCCAGAGAAGAATCTGAAGAGCCTGGGGGGACAAGTAGACAAAAATCATTATCACGGTCAGAATTGTAAATTCTATCCAGAAGAGAATGGCACATGGGTAGACACTGAAGATAAAGCCAGGGAAAGGCATAGCTAGATTTGCATTGTAGAAATTTCATTTGGTAGAAGTGAGTGAACAGTGGAGGAGAAAGTTTGAGGCCTATGACTGGCTACCCAGCTCTGTCCAGTGCCTGTCCAGCCCTAGTCTCTGCTTCGCTGACTCAGAGCATTTGATGCCCTGGCTATTTGTATTTTAATGTGTGAAACAGAACTTTGTGGAAACACCCCGTCATTAACTACCTTGGCAGCTGCTTATTTTTTCCTAAGCCCTTGGAAAATGAACAGTAATAATCATTATTACATTAAGAATAATAATGACAGTAATGGTTAAAAAAATACAGGCAATGTCATATATGGGAGGATCCAGATATAAGATTGATAGCTTCAATGGGTGAAGGTTCAAATTTTTGGCATGACCTTTCTCCATGAAAAGTGAATAAGTGACCTGCAGCCCATCCAATGACTTCTCTTGCTAGAGCTGCCTCTGCAGCAGGCCCAGAGTTTCTGAAGGAAAGAGCACATGGGTCCAAAGGCTAGGATTCTGGCTCTCCTTTAAAAATTCCCCCCTTTAAAAACTCTATGCTCAGTTTCTAAATCAAGCCCTCCAAGACAGGGGAGAAGTCCTGTCTATGTGCTCCTTTGAGCCCTCTGCCTATGCCATAACACTCCACAAGCTGCGTGTTTATCTGCCTGTTCATAGCCTCACTGGACCGCAAGATCTACAAAGGAAGAAACATCCTATTCACAGTTACACTAACAACATGAACCAGTGTTGGTCCATCCCATGCTGAAAAACTGTTTATTAAATTATTAGTAATACTCATTTTATTAAATAACATTATTGAATTAGTGAATAAATTAGGTTCAGAAAAAATCAAAAAGTCAAAAACATCAGGAACTAAATATTTAGAAAATAAACATTTGCTTTGCTTTTCCTGAGCAAATTAATATACATTTATACTCTCCCTACCCACCTCTACTCCACCCTGTGTCCACATGGCTTCTGTGAGCACCTGTTCGTTACTTGAGTCTGGGAAAAGAGTAAAGGCACTGATCAAAATTAAGTATTTACTGATTGTAACTACTTCAAGAGATGTTCTGCTTATTATACCCGGGCATTGAAGCCAGTCTTGCAGAACTAGATGAACAACAGTGGTTCATCTTTGGGCTGAGCAAAGAAGATTCACTTGGTGTTATGGACTGAATTTTTTACCCTAAAAATTCATACATTGAAGTTTGAACCCACAGTACATCTTAGAATGTGACTGTTTGGGGAGATAAGATCTTTAAAGAGACAATTAAGGTTAAAGTAGGTCACATGGGTTGTCTTTAATCCAGTCTGACTGGTGACCTTGTAAGAAGAAGAGGAGGTACCAGGGATGCATGCACACAGAGGGAACAACCAGAGAGCAGCTCTCTGCAAACCAAGGAGAAAGCCCTCAGAAGAAACTAAACTTATCAAAACCCCCCTCCTTTTTTTTGGACCCCAGAATTATGAGAAAATAGAATCCTATTGTTCAAGCCACCAAGTCTCTGGTATTTTGTTACGCTAGTCCTAAGAAACTAACATTCTTACCAATTTTTTTTTATCCTCCTAAAGCATAAACTGGTATTTCTATGTTCTATTTCTTGTGGGGAAATTCCTTTATCTGTTCTTTATGTATGCAGAGATAGGAATATATCCTGATACAACACATTGAAAAGAACACAATATAGAGCCAAGTGAGGTGGCACACACCTGTAATCCCTGGGACTAGGAAGGCTGAAGCTGGAGGATCACAAGTTTGAGGCCAAGCTCAGCAATTTAGTGGGGTACTAAGGTGCTTAGTGAGACCCTGTCTGAAACTAAAATCAAAAGGACTGGGGATGTGGCTCAGGGTAGAGCACCCCTGGGTTCATTCCCAGTACAAAAAAAAAAATCATCCTGTGGTATACCTCAAACAAATCAAATCATAAAGAAACATGAGACAAATTCAGTTTGAAGACATGTTCCAGGATAAAGAAGACTAAAGAGACAAGACAAATTAATTCCCTATGCGGTCCTGAATTGAATCCTGGGACAGTTCATCTCCTATCTTTATCTGTCTATCTATCTATATCTATCTACTTACGTACCTACCTACCAACCAAACCATTCATTCATCCAGCTTTTCATCCATCTATATAAAGGGAATTGATGAGATAGCTGTCACAATTTGAATAAGCACTATAAATTAATTACTATTATATCACCATTAATTTACTAATTTTGATAATTATACTCATGTTTCATAAGAGAATTTTCTTGTTCTTAGGAAATGCTGGGAAATCTGGGTAAAAGTATTCTGGAATTCTTATACTCTTCTTAAACTTTTATAATTTTAAAGTCATTTCAAAATATAAATATTATTAAAATTATGGATATAAATTATGAAAACAATCAAACTGAGAGGTATGTGCATTGAACAATCTAGTTAATATTATACTAAATCAGGTTAAACTTTAAGCTTGTGAAAAATAGTTAAAAGACCATGAAGCATTTAATTGTGTCAGAGTGAGTTCGGGTACAGGTGCAAAGTGCAGGGTGCATATTGGATTTTGAGTAATTTCCAGTAATGCAGTGCAAGGATGAAGGCTCACACACATTTAGTGTTGCAATCATTTAAAAGTCTCAGGAGCACTCCAGCCTGCACAGTCCTCAGAGAATATCAAGCAGACTGGTGTCTGAGGCTGTGGGAAACTGAGTGAAAAATAGCTCCACCCTAACATGACTTCCCAAATGGCTCCTGCTCAACTGTTCTCTTGGCAGTTTCACACTGTGTGAGGTAGAACAATGTTCCAATCAATGTTTTCTTTTATCTAACAATGTTTGCAAAAAGCAAGGCTATCCAAAATGCTTAGAGACTTGCCTATTAAAAACAAAACAAAACAAAACAAAAAACCCCTCTACTTCTATTCATTTAATGTTGGCAGGACTGAAAAATGCAAAATATCTTCTGTAGGCCCTGGATACTTTTACCATTGTGAAACCCTTCCACCACAATACTTCAACATGTATTTTCTCTGTTTTAGGCAAAATTTAAGCATGTTTTGCCAGGTGCTGTGGTGCACACTTGTAATCCCAGTAACTCAGGAGACTGAGGCAGGAAGATTACAAGTTTGAGGACAGCCTCTGCAACTCAGTGAGGCCTCAAGCAACTTAGGGAGGCCCTGCCTCAAATTAAAAATCAAAATGGACAGGAGATGTGGCTCAGTGGTAAAGTGCCTCTGGGTTCAATCCCCAGTCCCCCCACCAAAAAAATGTTCATAGGCCTCTAAAATTATTGTGGGCCCCAGGTCCTATAGGCATTATGGCTAATGCCTAAGTCAGTCCTGATTTGTGTTAAATTTTAAATTATTTATTCCCATGTCTATACCATTAAATAAAATGTTTGAATTTATATAGGCATGATTAATACAATGAGAGCTTGTTTGATAACACATATATTTTATATGTCCAAATGTTAGCCAAATTGAAAGACCTATAAATCATGACGTATCTTATAACCATTTATGAGTAATATCTTTCACTGGGAGTGTGCAGTTGGTGATTACTGCTTATTAACAGTGAACCAGAAAGCCTGCATCTTTTTACTCAGTGTTCTGTTGATAAAGACTCAGACAATAATAATTTCCTGTTTTGAAGACCCCTGATGACCCCTAGACCATCCAGAGAATTTTACTTATCACAAATAGTGTGGTTTTAGCATAAGGCTTCCCTATTTGTATTTTTGTTTTGTCAACACTGAAGTTTTTTGTTTGTTTGCTTACTTGTATGTTTGGTTTGGGAGTATTTCTATGTCATACTCAATGTTCTATTTAGTCTTTCTAAAGGTAATTTCTCTGTTGATGAAATTAAAGTTTCCCTCCTCTAAATAGCATTGTATTTTCACAGTATAAGAACTCCAAAATCAAATAGAAAAAATGCCATATGGAAATTCAATATTAACTTTAAAAACTATAAATATTATTCTTTATATAGGAAGTTATTCAAAACAGTAAGAAAGACAATTAATATCAAGGGCTAGCCTAATGTTAGGTCTGCTATCTGTAGTCACTTGTTTCTTAAAATTAAGACATTTCCCAGGATCCTCAAAATCACCATGTTTGAGTCTAAAAAATATCTAGTAGAATTGTGCCCTTTGGTAAAATTCATCTCTTATCCATTTCTGTTTTTACTGCTGCTACTGTGCCAAGTGTGAGTACAAGCTTGTGTATCCAACACATTCTTCACACTTTTCCATGTCAAATTTATCAAAGAACTAAGAATGATTCAGAGTGGATCAGACTATAAACATTAAGGTATCATGAAAACGTTATCAAAAGTGCTTAGTTATTTTGCTCCTGCAAATGTAGAATAGGTACTGAGTATACAGAGGTAAAATAACATCAAGATAAAATGTCTGTCTGTGAAATTTAACATGGTACTCTCTATCATCCATCTCCCTTTAGCTATTGTGGCCCCTTTGTTTCTGAATTTTGGAACAAACCTTCCATTTATTTGATATAAGCAGATCTTGAAATGCACTTCGGGAAACTGGCTAATCTGACATTCTGCAGAGTTAGAGCAATTAGAGAAGCAGGAGAAAGTTTTTGAAGTGGTAACTAAATTCAAATTGAGAATTACTTCCAGTGAAGCAGATCTAGGTGCATGTTGGCTCACCCTAGCAATCTGACTATAGGTACCTGGGGAATCCACTTCACTATGATACTGGAATCCACTGGCCTTTATAAGTGAGGTACCTGGGGCTCTGAGAAAATTGGGAAGACATCATCTTGAGATCTTCAATTTACCACAGCATCAAAGGACCATGATTTAATGGCAAATGGAAATCTTAAACCAGATAAACAATATCAATAGTCTCTTTCTCTTTTTAGTGTGAATTTTATTCATGAAGAGAATTCTGCCTGGACCTACAGATGGAAGATTGCCAGATAGTTCTGAGGAGGTGAGTTCATTTCCTCAATTAAAATTCTTTGTCATAGAACTAATAGAGAATATTAAGAAAAGTAAGCTCAATAATTTTATGTATGCTATTTTAAACAGAAAATATAGCAGGAGCATTTTTTCTTTCTAAATAACTGAAAATGTAGAGAACAACAGTAAACCTCAAAGAGTAATAATTTCTCAAAAAAAGCATAATAAAAATTTCTCACCAGGCACAGTGGCACACTCCTGTAATCCCAGTGGCTTGGAGGCTGAGGCAGGAGGATCTTGAGTTCAAAGCCAGGCCCAGCAAAAGTGAGGTGCTAAGCAACTCAGTGAAACCCTGTCTCTAAATAAAATACAAAAAAGGGCTGGAGTGTGGCTCAGTGGTTGAGTGCTCCTGAGTTCAATCCCTGATACCCCCCTAAAAATTCTTTATTTTTTTCTTAATTTACAATTTTTTGTTTCATTTTTAGGGATGAGAAAAAAGTGAATAATAAAAATTTATAAGGGCAATTATTCCATGGTTCCCTCAAATTCCTTAGTGAATATGCTAACAAAATTTTAAGTAAACAAAATTCAGAGTTGTAGCCTCTGCTGTGGTCCCTGATCCATTTCATTCCATCTGTATCTCTTCAATGCTTGCTCACAGGTTCTTCTTCAAAGGATTTCCTCCAGCCACCAGAGTTTGTTATACAACCAGGGCCACAGGATGAAAATTCTGGGAAATTGATTTCCTTAGAAGCAGACTTTAACTAATTATCCACTAGAGTGGTGTTAAGTGTTCCAGCTTCCTTCCTTAGATGGGACAATACTGAGGCATGTACTGAACATATCCAGGAAGCTCTGATTAATTCCCAGCAGTCCCTTGCCTGATACTTCACTGATTGCCTTCTCTTTCCACTACATAACCCTTCTCACAAATTCCAAAATTGCTTCCAAAATAGGCAGCTTATACTGTGATCCATATCTGGTGGCTTTTATGGGACACCAAACCAAGAAAACAGCTTTGACTACTTTGTGGAGCTGAAAACCAACCTTTAATTTCTCCTATGTTTCTGAACTGGTATAGAAATGTGGCACTTCTGTCACACAGGAGTATTGAAAGTCCATGTAAAACTGTTTTGAATTGTTTTTAAAGAGTCATATAAAATATCACTTTCAAATGCAAATTAATTAAAAAATTACATAACATACACACATAGAGATACTGCATGCTGATATAGAAAAGTAGAAAGAAAATATTTTATTTTATATTTATTTTAAGAAAATACTTTAATAACCTGGTGGAATATTTATATTTAGTTTAGATACTTAATAATGTTATATTAGAGAACTTTCAATGCTGCTGCTCTGTCTTTTCTCTACTCGTATTTTGCTTACTCTGTCTTTTGTTTTCACTCATTTAAGGCTTGAACTGTTAGACCCTTGTGCTAGAGCACCATTCCTAACATAGTTTCATTAGATTTGAAAAACAAAATAGTAAAGACTCTCTCAACAGTAATTGCTCAAAATTATTTCAAATGTATCATAGGTCATTATTATCTTATTTAAGTGAATATTTTGTCCAAACTGAATTTTATTTATTCCACTTTAAATCCAATGTCTTTCCCCTTTCCATTTTGGAAGTTTGGAAATAAACATGTTTGTTCTATGTGTTGTCTTGTTCACTCTTTTCTCCCTTCCTTCTTTCATGGTAACTGCAAATTTTTGGTAATCACTTCTTATTTTATCTATCACATTTTAAATTATGAAATTTAAAATCTTCTATGAATTTTTAAAACCTTTATGTAAAAAATACAGAATTCCACCAGAATAAATTTATAAATTTATATACTTGAGTCTCTCAGTGGTCAAATGTTTTCTAACTCAAGTTCTTATCATCAAGCATTAAAAAAAAAAGTCAAAAGCATTTGTTCTTAGGCTGACTTCAAACTATGGATCAACCAATGACTATGCTCAGCAGGAGTTAGCTCTCTTCCCTCTGAGTGGTAGGGGTAAAGGGATGCAAATGAGGATGAGTTTATGAGCCAGATATAAGCAAACAAAATTTACACATATGAGGTAAAGAAAAGAAATCCTCTAGCTGTAAGATCCTCAGGGCAAATTTACTGGCATTTATTATGCATCCAGTTTGTATCACAGTTTGTTTGTTAATTCTTCATAATAAGGCCATGAAGTATATTGTATTCTCATTATTTACTATTGAGCAAATTGAGGCTCAATGAGGTTCAGCAACTTGTTACATAATTAATAATGTATCTGAGTAGTAGTTGAATAGTAAAGCCATGTAGAAGCTCAAACGAAAAGTAAATATTGAGTCTCCTCAGGATATTTAGTTCTAAACTGTTATACTGCTACCTCAGGACACCTGAACAGTACCATACAGATTGCAAGTTGGTATGATGTAGACATTGTTAGACTAGCGAGGATGTTGATTGTGCTAGGGATTCTGATGACTGTGGATCCATAGCACTTGAAGAGTTTCCTTGTCCTCACTGCTGCCTCCTCCTATTGTTTATTTTAAGACAGCTTAATGAGATTGCATATATGGTTAATCAGGGTTTAAAAATACAGCCATGTGGTAACTTCTACTGACAAATGGACTTCAAACAGATCACTTCTTCCTGAAATCTGACTCCTCTTCAGTTTGATTATATACTTTCCCTAAAGTTTAGGGGCAGATTCTTGACCTTGGGGAAGGGTCTCATTATATATATATACTTTCTCTCAGATAAGATACTGTCCTAAGTGGATTGAGTGGAAAAGATTAAGGGGTATACTTGAATTAGTAACCATTTTAAATAACCAGAACAATACTTTTCTTCATACATGTTTTTCATATCCTAAAGATAAACTAACTTTTCCATAGGTTGTAAGAGTGGATACTGTCATGCTTTAAGGAAATATTGATATTGGTCTTGCAAGTCAGGATTGGGTTCTTGTTCCCCCAGTGTAGAAGATTAAACACCTGAGAAACACTGAGGCAAAAGTAGAAAGTAAATTTTATTTAAGAGACAGATCAGAGTGAGAGCGAAAGCAAGAGCAAGATCTAGAGACTTCTCTGGAGTAGAGCCTGGGACCCAGAGCTAGTACCTGTGGGACTGGAAGTGTCTTGCTTTTTTTCTTTTTTTTATATGCTAATAATTTTCTCTTTATTCTTTTTAAAAAATTTATTCTATTTTATTTATTCTAATTAGTCATATATGACAGCAGAATGCAATTCAATTCGTATTACACAAATACAACACAATTTTTCATGTCTCTGGTTGAACACAAAGCAGAGTCACACCATTTGTGTTTTCATACATGCAGTTAGGGTAATAATGTCCATCTCATCCCACCATCTTTCCTACCAGGATATGGTCCCCCTTTTTCTCCCTCCCCTTTTCCCTATCTAAAGTTCTATTTCTCCCATGCTTCCCTTCTCCATCCCCACTATGAATCAGCATCCTTATATCAGAGAAGACATTTGGCATTTATATATACACAATGGAATATTACTCAGCATTAAAAGAGAATAAAATCATGACATTTGCAGGTAAATGGCTGGAGTTGGAGAATATAATGCCAAGTGTCTTACATTTTTATAGACCCTCACTTCCTTTCTTTCAAGAAAGGAAGGAAAGAGTAGCCTCAGGGGGTAATCCCTTTTGTTGGAAAGTGTGATCCTTCCTTTCTCCCAGAGGTGTTAGCAACCAGTTGAAAGGAAAGGGCTATCTCTCATTTCCTTTTCCTTTTCTTTGATAATCAACTACTGGTCCTTTGCCCCTGTCTCAATATGATACACAATTAAATTTTCATTTCCATCAAGTGGAACAAGCATGGTCTCCATAAATAACTTTAAAAGCTATATTGAGAATTATTTTAAAATATTTCTGATTCCATCAGTAAACTCTTAAAATCAAAAGGAAGACTTATGAGGTAAACAGAGTATTGAAGCTGGGCAATTACTAAGTGTATCACATGTTTAGCACCAATTTTCCATACCTCTCAGATATGAGTCAATAAGACAATGTCCAGGGCCTTAAAGGGAATCTAATAATATTAGCACCCCTCATAAAGGATTAAACATGAAAGCCTTTACCCTTAATTTCTGGGATCTAGTCATTGCAGGTTGTGCAAGGAAAATTGTCTGCATTGATGCATTGAACATAGATAAGTGAAAGGACAAAAAATACTCTTGCCTGAGAATGTTTAGAGACATGTGAGCCATCACATAAATTTGTCATCTACATTCGTACACTACATGACTCAAAATCATAACCAACCGTCAAATCAAGAACTGTGTGTGATAGGATTCTGGGCTGGTAGTTAGCAGTTGAGGAATCTGGCTGCAAACCAAAGTGAAAGTGTGTTTTCTCAGGTTCATCCATAGGCAGGGACAGGTCTGCCGAGAAGGCCTCATGGGAGGACGCTGCCTCCCCACATAGATTGGGTGTATAGCTCATGCACTACTGTTTTGTGGAGGGAGTTTCTGTAAAGGACTATTCACTCCCTCAAACTCCTACTTCCCCACCAGTCCTGCTAAAAAGCATATCTGCATTCTTGGCCTAAGCATCTCCACTTAGAGGCCTTCTTACTAAGGATGGTGGCTGAGGCTCCTTTTTTTCCATTTTGACTTTGACTTTTTTGTTCTTAGCCTTTTCCCCTTTTTGTCCCCCTCTTTAAAATGGTAGAACCTTCTACAACTTATTACTTATGACTAGTATATCTTCAATATCAAAAACTGACAAGAACTGTTCCCGGGACAGTGGGTTTTTGTGCTGTGTACCAGAAGAATCAGGCAGAGAAACAGCATAACAGGAACCAAGCTCCTCCTTGGAGGAGGATTCAGCTTGTCCAGAAGAGAAATAGCACTGACCAAGTGTCAGGCCTGCTCAGAGTACAAAGGTGTACAGCTTTGGGGGCATCTGCAAGGTAGCAGGGCCCCAGTTTCTTGATCTCATCACATGGAGAGGTGGGGTTATAGGTGCACCTGTGCTCTTCCTTGTGCTTCTTCATATGACCCGTGTGTCCCTC